CTATTGTTTGGCAGTAAGCTATTGTTATACCAGTCAATCTAAAGAAAAACTTTCAAATTCTTATTTTTAATCAATATATATGAAATGTTCCTTCACTGGGTAGTAATCCTTCACCCTGGTTGGTTTACCCTATGTGTGACGTGAAGCAGATGTCGGAAACAATATCATATCTAGATTTTAATGTTCCAACAATGGTAGTTCTATTTTATAAATTTCAAGGTATAACGGAGACATATTGACATGTATAGTGTGCAAAATAAAAAAACCCTGAATAACTTTTGCTCTAATGATCGGATTTTAACGTTCTAGAACTCTATCTTAAAGGTCAGAAAGGGTAACCTCAAATATGCTAATTAATCAGTACAGATGATATTTTAAGTTGCAAAATTCGACACAAAAAAACAAACTTTCTCTCATTAAACACGTCTTTTTTTTCGACGGATGAAGATTGCTGATGGAAAATATTTAGGTGATAGCCGCACTCTGTGAAATTTGGTCCGAATAGTTTGACCCGGAGAGCGGTTTAAAGCAGGGCTTGAAAAACCGCCCGTCCTCGGCAGTCAAAAATTCCCGGCGGACAACGAATTTTTCGAATCCGACGTCCGCGTGGACAGCCGTTTTCCCGTTAATGTTCGTGATACATTTTCAATTTTTGTTATCTTACAATCTTTTTTGAAGGAGTAGATAAAGAAATTTTTTCTCAAGAATGGGTGCCATTAAAATTTAAGATACATAACATCGTTAAACACCTGAAAACTTCATTCCTCCGAGCCTAAGCTATTTATAAAACCTAATGCAGCAAAATGACCCACAATACAGCAACATACTGCGCATGGTGGAATTGATGTTTGATGTTTTCTCAGTCTGGGAGTACTGCAGTGGTTGAAAGGGGCTTTTCAGCAATGAACTTGCAAAAAAAAAAAAAAATATAAGAGAAAATTATATTTTTATTCATTCAGTAGCTACGGGTTAGTTTCAAAGGAGGACGGGTACATTGTTGGACAAGTCGTCCTCGGGGACGGGTAAAATTTCTGAGTTTTTTCGAGCCCTGGTTTAAAGTTTGTTAACCCCTTAAAGTCGAATTTGCTCTTTGCCTATCTCACCATATCTCGAGAACTTTTTAAGCGAATTGAACAATTTTTGCACACAATTGTAATATTCGTTTATCCAAAGATAATTCCATGCAAAATATAACTTTTAGTAAATATTTATTATTTAATTTAATAATAGTACTTTTGAATTGCAAGATATTTAATTTTTTGTATCATTTTAAAGAATACAAATTTTAAATAGCAAAATACAAAACTTGAGTGAATTCGGATGAATAGTTCTTGAGAAATCAAATTGTAAAAAAATCTTATTTTTAAAATTCGATTTCTCAGGAGCGCTTCGACCAATTTCACTCAAATTTTGTATTTTGACATATAAAATTTGCATTCCTTAAAATGATGAAAAAAAAATTTATTACCATAGAATCCAAATGTTTTTCAACTATTATTAAATAAAATAATAAAAAATAATAAATATTTACTAAAAGTTATATTTTGTATGGAATTATTTTTGGATAAACGAATTTTTTAGTTTTGTCCAAAAATGATTCATTTTCGCTTAAAAAGTTCTCGAGGTATGGTGAAATACGCGGAGAGTAAAATTTACCTTAAGGGATTCAAACTTTGGACAGCTCTCTTGACCGAACTATTGGGACCATATTTCCCAGATTGCGTCTACATGGGGGTCAGAAATCCGACACGGGGGATTTACATTCAGAAATCCGAATCCGTCGAAGGAGAGGTATGTTTATTCAGAGAAAGTACGTTTTAGAATCCTATTTCGTAACTTAAAATATCGATCATCTGCACTCATTAATTATCATATTTGAGCTCACCTTCTTGAACCATTAAGATTAAGTCCTATAACGTGAAGATCCGATCACTAGATCAAAAGTTATTTTGGGTAGTCCGCTTATTTTTTGATGTTATTTTATTTTATTTAATTAATGCTGTTTTATATGATAAAATACTAAATTTGAACGAAATTGGTCAAATAGTTTTTGAGAAATCAAAATTTAAATTTATCACTTTTTTAAAATTTGATAACCCAGAAACTTTTCGACCGATTGCCCTGAAATTTTGTATTTTCTCATTCAAACTTACTTTTTTTTAAAATTGCGTGAAAATTTGTATGCCTTGCATTTCAATTTTTTTGACAATGGTAAAATATGCTAATAAATAATTAGTAAAAATTATTTATTGAATTTTTTTCGGATAAACAAGTTTTCAAATTATGGGCAAATTTCTTTTGACAAAAGTAAAATATGCTAATAAATAATTAGTAAAAATTATTTATGGAATTTTTTTCGGATTAGCAAATTTTCAAATTATGGGCAATTTTTTTTTTTTACTATTTTAAAAAATTCTCGTGATACACTCGCAAAATGGCATAAAATTAGCATAAAAGAGTAAAAATTTTTGACTGTTCTTCTGGGGGACCATATTTTTTTAACCCTATATTTATACACCTAACCTACTCCTGTATTTTGAGGATCCATCAATTTTATAAATTCATTTGTGTATCGTCCGCATTAATTAAATAGCATATTTTAGGTCGCCCCCTCGGACTATTAAAATTGAGGCCTAAAACTTGAAATTCCGATCATTGGAACAAAGGATATTCAGGGTGGTTTCATTTTGCGCCTTTGCATGGTTTTTGAAAAAATAATCTATTTTAATACATTTGGAATCCCCCCCCCATCAGAATGATTTATAAGAATGACATGCTAAGAGATATTTTGATAGATAGAAGAAAATAAGTTTTGGAACACCGGAACATTGAACCACTGTTTAGAAAATAGCTTTTATTTCTCCAGTAATAACTTAAGTAACAACATGTTCTTTACTCCTCTTCAGTCTCTTAATTCTTAATCCATTTTTTTTAGGCCTGTTTCAAAATTAAACACACCTAATTGCCGTATATTTCATCTTTGATCGAGGCTGATCATAGATTAAGTATACGGCAGTCATTTAGTTTCGAAAATTTTCCATAATATACCCTTATAAGAAACCGTCAATATATGAGATTAACATTGGTTTAAAAATGCAATTTTTCTTATAAATTGCATTAATTTCTTTATACAGAAATTTTCAGTGGATATTGATGGAGTCGGTTTCTCTATTCATTTCCTCTCAAATTATTCTTAACTAATAATTTATTAAATTCGACATTGTTGTCTAAATTGCAAAAAGCTTGAAAAAGTTGGATGATGCAACTCACTATTTAGTGGCTTTGTTAATCACTTTATACTGATATCCATTTCACAAGCAGGAAATATATTCTCAACAAAAAATTAATACATCAAAATTTAAGAGTTAAATTTTTTAAAATAATAAAACCCGTTGTGGGCCAGGGGGGTCATGGAGGGTAAAGTCAACGAGATCTACAACATGATTGTAGAAATGTGATGAGCATTGAGCACTTACCGCCTTGACTTCCATGACAAACTAGCACCCATCGAACTGAAGCTAGGTGGGCGTCAAGCTGCCCCTGGGGATTGAACCTCAGTTCTTTGCAATGATAGTTCAGCGCCTTAACTACGGTGCTACGACTGAAAATTTTTTATACTTGTATTAATTTCTGTCTTCAGATATTTTCGCTGGATCTTCATGAAGTTAGCCTGCATAAAATAATTCAAAGTATTCCAGAAGCCACTGATTTTTTTGATTGGTCTCAAGACACACTAGCACCTGAAAAAAGAAAGGAAGTCTTGATCAGGTATTGATATATATCCCATATTTAACTTTAGTAGTACTAATACCAATAAGTAACTGATTTTTTTTATTTGTGCACGCACTTTATGAAAAACTAATTAGTTTCACGTCTTACTCTTTTCGCCCACTAATCTCGCAATTTCTTCGCAATCATTTCTGTTTCTTGATGATATCTAGATTGTTAAATGAAAATTAAATATTACTTTTTATTGTTAATACAGTTCTAATTCTATTGGAATAATATTTAAAACTAATAAAGTGATTCGGCTAAAACTGCAACGCCACTTAAAATTTGTTTTATAATTGGAGACTTGCAAGTGACATCGCGTGTCGGTCAGCCAATCAGGTTCGATACACATGCGTGATGCGCTTGCAGGTATCCAATTAATTCCGATCTGAAGACTGATTCAGCATGATAATAAACCCCAGCCGAAAGTTGTAATATTAGAGGGCGCCATGCACAACTACAATAATAGACACAATCGTGTGATTAGTTAAGTTCTCGATTCTTATTTAATTTTTTGTTAATACAAAAGCATGCTAAATAATTTTCTCCTAAGAGACAGTTTAGCAACTAGGAGGAACCATTCCCTTCTCGCTACCGCTCGCCAACCCGGGAACAGCTTTAAACATTTCACGTGTGTATAATATGTTATAAATTTTATTTGTTTCTAATATTTATTAGATTTGTTTTGATATTTTCTTCTTCTTTTTTCAGGCGAGCAAGAATAATTTCCTGTCTAAAGATTACTATTATCGTGCTGCTGGTTTATTTATTGCACCGTATAATTTCGCTGATTCTTTGAAAACACATTTTACAATGACTGTTTTGCGCATTAAGAAAATAAAACTTTTACTTAGAAAATTTTATTCTTGCTCATTCCTTTATCTACGACAACAATATCTCTGTACTAAAAGTTAGCGAATATGATTTTAAATATTAGAAATGACCATCGCTTTTCATGTAATTACACAATTCGTGCAAGTAAACGACATAATTCTTTTAATTTCTGTTAAATAATCTTAAAGTTCTTGTCTTTTTTTAACCACCTGCCGCTTCAGATAAGTAAATGATTTTTTGGTTATTAATTTGTTGAGGTAAAAAATTAATAAATATTCCTTAACAACTTTATATATGGAATTTTTTACTTTCTCCGCGATCAAAGAAGTTTCAGCCATCAACGCAGACAAATTGGTGAGTTCATTCCCAATACAGTAATAATAATAATAATAATAATAATAATCAATGAATATCTTTTTGAATTTGTTAATTAATTTTATTATTTAAGAAATTGGAAATCGATAGAAAATGGCTAAAATATAATTTTACTGACTTGGAAATCAATTAAAATTGAAATTAAATGTCACGAAATCAAAATTTGTGATTAAAAATCCTTAATTAGAGCAGTAACTTTATGTGGAACTGAATATTTAATATAGCAGAGAAAGAATTTTTACTAATTTTTGACTGATTGCTTTTGACTTTTCGAATAAGGCATTTTAACTAATGGTCATTCTATAGTGACTAACGCAACATTTACAGATATTTTGACATGTTTATATATCATTGAAATAATCATGTTATATATCATGTTTATATATCATGTTATATATCATGTTTTTATATAATGTTATATGTCATGAAAATAATATTTTTTTCTCAATTCTTGGGAGTTTATGATGTATAGAATGATTATTTATATAACTGTAATAAAGGGACTCCATTTTTCAGCATTATCGAATTAATTAAAAAACCTTTCTCTAAAATCAGTACTATGACTAAAATTACGTTTTTACAATTAGCATCACTTTATCAAATGGATTTTTCTTTAAAGTTAAATTTATTTGTTCTAAATACCATATTAAAGTGTATACAATAAAATTTAAAAAAAGCGCATCAAAAATTTTAGTAACAAAATATATTTTTGCTCAATTTAAACATAAAAAGTTTTTGAGAATAACATAATAAATAAGCCAAACGTATTTTTAGATAGCGACTACTTTCTGTATTTATCGGTCAAAAATCAACATCAACAGAAAAAAAAAGTATTTTTATTAAAGGAAAATACATTTTTTCGTCTGATTTCTTAATTTTATTATTAGTTGTTTTTTTAAATAGCATATTCAAAGTCAGCATCTTGAAATATTATAATTTACTCTTAGTACCAAATAAATGAAGTACCTTATGAAATCCGAGAATTTGAAAAACTATTTGGGTTGTACGTTTTTTTTATAGATCCACTGCACACCAAATTTGGAGCACACCAAATTTGTGGATTTATATATGGATCATACAAACATTCTGTCAAATACATGATTGCCGTCAATTCTTTTGAAATATCTTAAATTTGAAAAAATTGAATGTTAAAAAGCGTTTCGTTCAGTTGTAGCTTTTTTTGTATTTATACTAGAAGTGTCCGCTCATAATATCATCCATCGTGGTTGCCTTCTTTAATTTTGTTGTTCATTTCCGTTTAAGAAACGATTTCTTTTTAAAACAAGGCTTATTTTGTACGTAAAAAATTTTAATATTATAATTTTATCTAAAACATTTTGTTAATAAATTAATCGTAACAAAATGGACATTTACTTGCATTCGAAAAATTATCAGTTGTACAGTCCGCAAAAAAAAAGATATC